CCTTCCCCCTCTCCCACCTTTAGATCCTCCACAAGTGATCTTAGAGCAACAGAGTTCATATGCACAACTAACAAAACAAATTACCTCAAATCTTATGCTTACCATTAAGCCTCGACACTGAAGAGTAGCTGATCAATCTACCTGTATATGCCTAGTTACCAGTTTAACTGCTTCAAAATTCAAATATTATATTAAAAGTTTCTGTAATCTCGGAGAAAGGTTTGTTGACCAAAGCTCCCCTCGCAAAGATTACCAGACTTGGGTTCATTAACCAAAAAAAATCTCCAAAAATGTTTGAGATGTAAACATAAATTTGACCAATCCATTTTTATCCATCCAAATAAGATTCTTGAATAAGAATAGATCATATTCTATCACCTAAATCACAAAAGAAATGATATTCCTTTAGCTTAAATAAAGTTCGATTTAAGAAAAGTTACTGTTTCTTTTCCCTTTTCTTTTTGTCTCATTTCACCAAGGTTTTGCAAAAACTTTCTCTGGCCAAGGTTTAGATACACTGCTTACGGATGGATGTAGATTAGGTTTGGAATAATTAACTATGATAATGTTTTGCCCTTGGGTAGCGAGGGGGTTACTCTTCATAGCTTGAAAACAAGCCCATGGGCAGTCTCTGAGAGGGACTCAGCCGAGACATTCGTGCCCAAGACTCACACTGTGCCACAAAATACCACAACCCACCATTTCACAGTTCAACTAAAACCCACTGTGAGGAATCTGGACCTCTCAAGTAAAATGAAACAAGGAAGATCCTGAAAATGACTATCTATTTTTTCATTTGCCTACATATATAATTTTTCAAACCAAAAATCACCTGAAGAGTATTACAAATGATGAATTACTGAATGCTATGAGTCATACTAAAATTTTCCAAGAAACTTTAAAATATTTTTAGTCATTTCCTTTTATAAACTTGTTCTCAAAGCCATGAATAATATATCCGAGGCATCACAGGTTAAGTCAAACATCATTTGACATCACATATTTAAAGTCATTAAGACTCCATGAAAATTGTAGGTAGTCAAAAGACTTTACTTTCTAAAAATCATACATGACTTAACAAGAGTTCCAAGTCAGTCTTTTAAAAATCCTTGCACTAAGAGAGAACGCACCTCCCTCATTTCCTAACGACATGTGTTCTTTTCTGGTTGATGACAGAAGAATAGCTCTTGGCACATTCTAACCCCATCCACAATAGGGCAGCCCATTCATCAGGCCTTGTCAGGAAATGAGGTGCTCCGCAGAAACTGCTTCTTCCAAATTACTTAAGCATATCACCTTCGGTGCCAAACTTTTAAAATTTTAATGTCACTGAGATATTTTTCCTTTGTGCACAGTTGTTTTTCGTCCTTAGCAGAAGATACTGAATTGAAACTTTTCCCTGAAAACTCCCTTAAGCAAACCCATTACGATGCCACGTATGACTGTGGTACATCTCCCTGTGGTTTTCCTGCCTCCTTCAGAACCACAGTGTGAGGCAGGGTCACTCTTGCCAACATTGTATCAAAGTCAAGAAAATTCCATCACCATTTTATATATAAAGAAACTGAGGCTCGGATGGCTCAAGTAACTTGCCAAGGTCACGGGCTAGCAGGTGGCAGAACCTATTAATCCCAAAGCCTATTCTCCAACCACTATGTTAAAATAAATAAACACATTTTTAAAAGGCAGGAGTGTTTTTTTATAAGGTATTTAATAAGCATCGCTGGGGCTTGAGAGTCCCCGAAGCTGAAGGACGTGCACAGAACAGCACTGAAAGAGTCAGGAAAACTGGGGCTGACAGGTCCCTCCTGGTTCTACTATTTATTTTGTTCAAAAGGAATGTTATGGGCTGAACTGTATGCCACCTGAAGTTCAGGTTGAAGTTCTCATCCCCAAAATGTGACCATTTTGAAGGCAGTGTCTTTGCAGAGGTAATTGAATTAAGGTCACCAGGTGGACCCTAAACCCATATGCCTGATGTCCTTCTAAGGAGATGGCATTTACATGCAAACACATACAGAGGGAGGCCCACACGAAGCCACTAGGAGACAGTCATCTGCCAGCCCAGGGCAGAGGCCTCGGAAGAAACAAACCACGCATGCCTTGATCACAGACTCTGAGCCTCCAGAAATGTGAGACAATGCATTTCCCTTATTTGAGCCCCCCCTCCCCCCACACACACCTGTAGCCGGTGGTACTTGGTTATAGCTACAGCCCTAGAAAACTAGGACAGGGGTGTTTTTTACATCTTTTAGGATACCCAGAGGTCTTCACCACCTCCTCTGGGGTGAAATAGGCCTATGATACGGAGGAGGAAATTTAGCATGCAACAAATCTAAAATTTGCAATGCTTGTACATTCGCTAAGTGGAACTCCTTTTCCTACCATGTAAGAAAAAGAAAAGTGCTTTGTTTTTTAACCTGGATTATCATGGTCTACATCACAAACCCAAAAAATAAAAAATAAAGAGCTCTGGGCACCTTCTACCCAGGGCAGTCGCTGAACATGGCTTCCTATAAATTCCCTAAATGCTTTACTTATTTTCCTTACATGTTGTTTTTAGTACAAATGAACAGTAAACAAACAAAGTCAGGACGCATTTAAATAAACAGGAAATCTGTGTTACAATGATAATGTTCACCATCTCAACAGCTGGAACACAAAGAGCCAGATTTGGAGATTATCTTGGACTTGAACGTCTGCCCATATTCAAGCCAGAGTAACGGAGCAGAGAGCTGGCTATCTATCATGGAAGACACTCGCCCTCTAGTCCTTTGTGACCCAGCTCTAAATAAAATGAAAGGAAACGGATATACTTGGTCATCTGGAAATGTCACTCCCATCACAGGGAAACTGCTTGGAAGAGAAGCTTGGTTTGAAGCGAGATCAATGATTAACTTCAAGTCACCAGACTTTAAACATCTAAATATAGTCACCATGTGCACAGATGCTTGCATGTAGTGCTATGTGGAAGTTAGGTAAGAAAAGCTAAAAGCCCCTGTACTTGGTAATGTTATTGTTAATGACCATAAGCTAAATAAGATCAAACTTATTTAATCTTCTCAAGAACTGGAAGAGATATTTTATTATCCCCACTCTACATGAGAGACTGAAGTTTCAGAAAGTTAAGTCAATTATAGAAGCTCATGAAATAGTAAGCAGTAGAGCCAGAATTTTCTGACTAGAAAGCTCGTGCCTTTAACAACATATTGACTCCTAATTCTCAAGCGAGAATGATCATTTAAAATCTTAAATGATGTTTAAAATGCAAATACCTCTAAAAGTGATGAGAAATGATCTATTCAAATAGAATGTGGATATCTGTTGACTCATGAAAAGGAAACTTCGCAGTAGCTTAGTGGAAAGGCTTTTTAAAAAATTTGAAACTATAGAGAAGCATGTGAAATGCAGAGGAAATGGTATATATGGGAAGGAAAGCAGAGCCTGCCTTTCCTTAAGGTATTTCTCAATAAAGAATCACACCAGTCGTAACTGAATCACAGGCTTAACTTTTCAGAGAAAGTGACCAAGGCCAAAGCTTTGAACATTTGTTTTGAAAGCATGCCATTTATGCCATTTATTCTATACCCTTTACCTCAGAAATGGTAGCACTTACCTCTCTCTGAAAAAAATTCCAAGCGTGAGTAAGCCAGCGGTATCTAGGTAAGCCATAATTTGTCATTCTGGCTTTCAAAGTGACCATGTCTGACCACTGTACTGGAAGCTGAAGATAAAAAACAAAATGTCAACAACTGTAACACAGCAACACACACTCAGACACACATACACTCACAGATTCACAAACTCAGTCACTCATAGTCTCATACACATACTCACACATACCTGGAATGTACTGTAATTGACAAGTACTTTATATTTGTTGTAGCAACTCAGAGCTACTAAATACTTGCTGAACTACCTCTGTGTGTAGGTTTTTGTACTAAATGTAGAGGTATCCTATATAATAAAACCCTAATATGCTAAGTGTCCGGTTGTCCAGTCAGCCATTCAACCAATCAAAGCATATTAGTAATATGCTAATGATGTGCTAAGGCCACTCAACCGCTCGCTATGATGTGCACTGACCACCAGGGGGTAGATGCTCTAACTGGTAGGTTAGCTTCCTGCTGGGGTCCAGCCCATTGGGACTGAGCAAGATGGGCCAGACACAGCCTGTAGCCCTCCCGCAGTCCCTTCCTGGCTGGCCAACCTCCTGCATCCCTCCCCAGCCCTGACCATCCACCAGTGGGGTCCCTCAGCCTGACCTGCACCCTCTCACAATCCGGGGCCCCTCGGGGGACGTTGGAGAGCCAGTTTCAGCCCTATCCCGCAGGCCAGGCTGAGGGACTCCACTGGTGCACAAATTTGTGCACTGAGCCTCTAGTGTCATATAAAGCAAAGTAATGCAAAAACAGTTAATGCCAATATTGAGCTCAAGGAGATGACAAGTACACGGTGTGTTCTACAGACACACCTGAAGAGCTCCTCACAACAAACCATCCCTGCAGAGCAATGCCTTTTGATTTCACCTCAGAAAATTGCTGTTTTTGAAGAGACTCCAGATTATGGTATTAACATAAAGGGGGAAGAATCAAGAAGAAAAAGAGATCAACTCAAGCCTCACTCTGGGATAAGTTTGTGAACCCCTTTTCAAAATTTGGATTTCAGAGGCATGCTGGCATGCCGGGGTCCAACCCCAGCAGGTCCAGGGGTCCCCAAAGGTGTGGACGGAGTCGGCGAAGCAGGAAGGACACGGAGACAGCGTTCAGTTGATCAGCAGCCTAGCCAGGATCTCCAGCCAAGTTCTGGTCTGGATCTCCAGAGAAGTTCTGCCCGCAATTTCTTCACTGATAGTGCTCCTAGGGCAATGGAAACTAAAGAGAAAATAAACAAATGGGACTCCATCAAAATAAAAAGCTTTTGCACAGCAAAAGAAACCATCAACAAAACAACAAGAAAGCCCACGCATGGGAGAACATATTCACCAATGTTATCACCGATAATGGCTGGCACTTAGTTAAGAGGTTTTATTCCCTCCCTAACTTCAGGGGAAAATCCCTACCTGGGGAAACAACCTTTCTAGGAGAGGTGACCTTGGTTAAAACACATAGTGCCAAGAAGGTGAGCAAATATATTAAGAACAGTATGCCATATATGCCAGGTCCCGTGAAACAGCAAGGATGGACCGGCTTCCGGCACTGGCATTCTAAAGATCAGTTCCCAAATCGAAGCGTTGTCTGTGCGTCTGTTCTCAAGTGTCCCTTGACAGAATGTTTAATCGTGCCAGCGCTTCTGGTACACAACACAACACCTGACCAGAAATCCAGTCAGCGCAACAGTCTGTTACCAACTGTGCCCCGGGCGGAAATGAGGCATACCAATCCCAGTCTCATGGCATGTGCAGTACTAAGGTAGCTCTCGGGAGCTGGACAGACATCCGCATCTGACCTATGGTGTCATACAGACCAGGCTTAGACAAGCAAGCTCGACACTGACTCAAGAATTGGAGCATTTGGAAATCTTATTTAGAAAAGAATGATATCAATAGGGGTGGTTTAAAAATTCCTGACCACAGACATTCCTCATTCCCCCCCCCCCTTTGTTAATTTTCTTTGTGATTACTTGGAAATGCACAGCACAAAAGAAAACACCCCAACACTTGGGCACACAACACTGTTCCCTACATAAGGGGCTGAGTGTTCATGGGGTTTCAACAAAGCTCAAGCTACTCACTATAAATTATTATTGTCTCCTATCCTTTTGAGCATAAAATACATGAAAGTGAAATGAATTCTCCAGAAATGTATCATCTGACATAATACCATTGACAGGTTTGTTGTGTTTTGTTTGGGTTTTTTTTTTTGAGAGAAGAAATAGCGAATAAGAGGTGACAATGTATGGAAAAAGAATGGAGAAACAGACCGTCTGATGTCAAATCTGTTGGTTTGATGATTAGGACAGTCTTATTTTTAATATTATTTTCCAAAATAAAAATTAGTTGTTTCTCCCTTTTGGCCACAATCAGTCTTGAGACCAAACGTGGCAAGAAAGAGAGATGGTCACTGAGGTTCTGGAACAAAGCACTGTGATCTGGTCCTTAAGGAGAACACTCATTTGCTGGCTCTTTGCATGGAGCAGCTAAGAGCACAAAGCCGTCTACACACAGGCTGGGCTCTGCGTGATTTGGCAGCGAGTAAACTGTAAGGGCACTTTTCACGCACACTGCTGTTAGTGAAAAAACAAGTTAAAAATATGTTAAAGTTGTTTACTTTTAAACAGGCCTTGCTCTATCCTGGTGAAGGATAGATCAATGGGGAAGATTATCATAAGCAAAACCGTGATGTACATCATCAACTGAGATATCAGTCCACACCCACCTGGTACCACCGTGATACTTAAAATTTACTTGCAGATGGCCCTTTAACAGAACAGAAGACAGTATCTACACAGTAAGGATAAGTTCCTTTCAATGAACTCAAGTTTCTTAAAACTATGTTAGAATCAAAATATTTCCAGTCTAATACATTAAATTAATCCATTTCAAACTGTTTTAACGTAGGAGATTTACCAACATTAGTATGACATAAACACCGTAGAAACCATTTTTAAAATCCACAGAAAGTAAACTGATCTCTAAAAACCCTTTAATTATCCAAAAGAACACAATCAAAAGCTAAGTTGAGGGCATCAATAATTAATTATGCAATTTTCTATATTTTGCTTGAATGTCAAAGAGACACATGCATTTTTTAAAAACTGAAAAAAATTAAGAGACCATCTCTTTATCAAAGAAACACAGAAACTGAACCCCTGCAAACAACTAATTTTTCACCCCCTACATATGCAAAGTTTCTAGGGGAAGAAGTGAAAATGTGATTCTCAAAGATACCACGAGTATTCCTATTTAATAGATTTCGTTTTCAGAAAGTTAGCTTTACATTAAATTACTTAGAACCCGCCCCGACTTTCCAATTTTTTTATAGAGAAATAAATAATTATAAATCCTCTCTTCTTGCTGAGAGTTGTCACACACTGGGGACGCTTCAGAGGGCTTTCCAGAGGGGTTTAGGGTAGAGGCAGTGTCAAAACATCATTTACATGTAAATCGGAGTATGCAGAGAACCCACTAGTCTGCAATTACCACTTAGTAATCAAAACAGTGTCACAGCAGATTCAGCATAAAATCTTTAATAACTGCATCAGTACCATAAGCAACTTCCATTTTCTCACACAGCTGCCGAAATGCCGCTCTGAAACAAATACAGAATGGTCGGCCTGTCTGCTTATGAACTCTTACATTTTAAAGAGTTGAAGACTCGGCTGGGGAACCTGTCACAAATGCACATGCCCAGACCCCTGACCCTTCTCCCTCTGCTTTCCCCTCTATTCTGATTTAGCAGACCTGGCATCGAGCCCTAGAATGCATATTGTTGAGAATCACCCTGGGCGACTCCTGCTAGACAGTCCAAGGACTACACATGGAAAAGCATCATCTTACTGGAATTACCCTGACACTTGCAGTGGGGAAATCTGGCCCGCCACCATGAAAACAGCCAGCGATCACTGGCATGCAGAAGTGTAAACCCAACAACGTCCAGAATAAAGTGAACAAACGTTAACTAAGTAATAATGGGCTACGTGAGCAGGAGTGAAGTGCACACGGTAAATCAAACAGGACTGCTAACATCTGAAGACTGAGGAACTTACTCGCATCCATTCTAACATAACTATAAACGTTGGTCCCGTGGTTTCAATGGCAAAAGTAAAAGAGGGAAAAACTGAAGAGCTGTTTCCATGTAGCCAAGTGTCCAACTGTGAGAGTGCTTCCAGGCTGGAGGAAACACACCGCAACTCTTCAAATGCGCTTCTTGGAGTGGACGATGGCTCAGCGTGGGGCCAGGGGATGCGTGCCTCCCGGTGATGGGTGGACAGCTTTTTATAAGGCTTTCGGAAGGTTGTCATGCTTTCTTAAATCTTGTTGCAAATAAGAATCTTCCCAAACTGCATACTCAAAAGTTGGTAAAACTACTTTAAAACATATATTATTTTAAGCCTATTATATCCATGTTTAAGCAATCCATGGAATTAAAAACACGTATCATAGTACCCCAAATGAAATATTACAAATTAGGGTTTGGAACTACACTTCAGACACAGAAAAGGCAGTGTTACTTTTCAGAAGTACTGGGACTGCATGTTATCATATACGTAGCATAAATATTCAAGTCACTAGTCATGTGCCTAAGTTACTCCAAAGGCTCTGCTCTCTAAGGCTGACCTGGATAAAGTTTCAGGTTGTGATTGTATCCCATTTTGAACTCACCATAATTTCCTGCTCGTATGTCCAAACACCACAGGCCAGTTCTACACAAAAAATGACAAGTAAACTTCCAAAGTACTGTAGAAAAACAGAAAATGAATTGTTAGAGTAGAATCAAAGTAAAATATGGTCATCTGAGACGTGCTAAATATTACTCAGTGCTGTTTATCCGATGAAAGAAAGGAGGCACACATCTGGGAAGCTCCCTCGGGAAAGATGGGAAAAATTTCAGCAACTTAGAGACATCTGCAGACAACACTTAATACCCACCTAGTGCTCTATGTATCAAATACTTTCATAATTTTTTTTTTTTGGTTAATCCTCACCCGAGGATATTTTTCCATTGATTTCTAGAGAGAGTAGAAGGGAGCAGCGGAGACAGAGAGAGAGGAACATGGATGTGAAAGAGACACATCTATTGGTTGCCTCCCACATGCGCCCTGACCAGGGCCGGGGATCGAGCCTGCAACCAAGGTGCATGCCCTTGACCAGAATCGAACCCGGGATCCTTCAGTTCACAGGCCAATGCTCTATCCATTGAGCCAAACTAGCTAGGGCTCAAATACTTTCATAATTAATTCATTCAAAAACCTTGTGAAATGGATAGGTCTATCTCATTTTACAAATGAGAAAATTAATGCAAAAAGTAGACAATGCAAGTTGCTCAAGAATGTGCATAGTAAATTTTGGAGAAGTTGCCAGCCATGTTCTCTATGGTATAACTTGTCACCTCTCCGGTTGTGCAGATAACTTTACGGAAGTAAGTAGTAAAAGTGTGAGAAAGAATGGGTTCTCTGAAAGTTCTCTGCACTAACTACAGCAGAAAGCAAACAGCACCACTGTTCTCGAACCTTCCACCCTGCTTCTGGTGCGGGGTCAGGATGGGGGTACCAGGTTGTGATGGTTATTGATTATTTCCTGTCACTGGAGTGACAACTCCCTCAAGGACCAGAGTTTTATTGTGTCCCTTATCACAACACAGGTGTTCAATAAAAGCATAAATGAAAACAGAGCAGATGGCTACGATGGCCAGGGACCGGGAGCTCCCTGTGGCTGGGTGATCGGGAGAGGCCTCTTCATGCAGGGAATCTTTAAGGTGGATCCGTGATGACAAGGAGAAGGTGATGCTGTGAAGATATGTGGAAAAGCAACCAGGAAGAGGCAATATCAAAAGCAAGGCCACCTTACAGGGTGAGCTAGTCAATTAAGAACTCAGAGGTACCTGGAGCACAGAGGCGGTGGGAGAGACACAGGACACAGATTTACTTGACCTTACAACAAATTAAATCTAAAATGTAATTCAAAGAAAAATTTTTTTTTGTAAATGATGCTGCAGCTTCATGGTCAGCGATCTCTGACTCATTGCCACCGCATTCGTCTCAAACATCCCATCTTGTAATTCCAAGGGAAACTTTTAATATAGCATACGCAGATCAACTGCATTTATTCTTATATTTTCTTGTTTCTTTGTTTGTTTAGAGAGAGAGGAAGGGGGAGGGAGAGAGGAAAACATTAGCCTGTTGTTCTACTTATTTATGCATTCATTGGTTGACTCGTGCCTGAGGGAGCCCTGACCGGGGACTGAATGAACCTCCAACCTTGGCGTATCAGGATGGCGCTCTAACCAACTGAGCTACTCAGCTAGGGCTGCATTTTCTTTCTCAGAGAGCTCTGAGTCCTAGATAAAGGCATCCTCATGTTGGTTTTTGCACAAAGAATCACTCTGCCATTAATTAGTTTAAGGGCTGGATCTAATTGAGGCATCTGTTAGGCACGGTACTAATCCATCGTTTCAATAAAACAAAACTAACCAAGAATTAAGCCAGGGCTCTGCTGAGCTTTGTTATGGTTGGAAGTGCATTTCTGTGTCATATTGCACTACAAAACCATCGGCTGTCCTCAGCAGTACTGGGAACATGTATACACATCTCTGGTAACGGTGTCAGCACGTGTCTCTCGTGTTTCTTACTTTCCCAGCCCACGTGGTTTCATGAGATGATCTGTACCAACCAAGTTTGAAGATCTGGTCTCTTCTTTCTTCTCCTAAATGCTACCCTTCTAGAATGGTGTAAAGGGCTCTGAATTCAGAATCAACAGACTGAGGTTCAAATACAGCTCTGAAACATTCTGTGAGCATCTGGCAAAACCATTATACTGCCCTGGCATCACTTTGTTCATCTGTATAATGAAATTAAAAATAAAGCTTTCTTTACTGCTATCAAGGTTGACTTGATAAATGGGAAAGTGCTTTGAAAAAATGTAATCCTCAACCAAGGATATTTTTCCATTGATTTTTTTTTTTTTTTTTAAAGAGAGAGTGGAAGAGAAAGGAAAAGACAGAAATATCACTTGATTGATTGCCTCCTGCATGAGCCCTAACCAGGACCTGGGCCAGGGAGGAGCCTGCAACCAAGGTATGTGTCCTTGACCAGAATCGAATCTGGGACACTTCGGTCCGCGGGCTGAAGCTCTATCAAACCCGCTAGGGCTGAAAACTTTTAAATTTCAAAGTTGTGAAGTATTATTTCAACACTATTCTGAAGTAGTTTGTGAAACACAATCCAATATTGACTTGTCCATGTCTCCCGGACATAGCCTTAATTTCCAGCAGTGTGCCCCAGGTTCTTCCTCATCATTATTTCCCAGTATTTCACCTCCTGTTCTTTACCATATTACTTTATTCCATCTTCCATGTATCAGGGTTTCTTTGTCGGCTGCACATCAATCCTCAGAGGCTTCAGCGTTTAAGCCAGCTGGCTGCCTCCCCCACAAGTCTCAGCGCTCACTGATCTGCCAGACCACCGGTTCTGACTGGCAGATAGCCTCTCCTTAAACATCATTTCAACCCCAGTGTCTAAACAGTAGCTGTCGCACAGCAGGTATTCAATAAATGTCAGTGGAAATAATGATCAGCTTACCAACTGAAAAAACTTTTTTTTCAGATTTCCTTGAGTTTCTCTAAAGAGAGTTTCTGGTTAACATTTGACTCCCCTTGACTTCTGCTTACACATTTCTATTTTAAATATTGCCTCTGTTTTACTATGTGTCTTTCATGTGGATTGTACTATGATAAATTAGTATGCCTTTAAGCATTTAAGACAATTTACATGGCTAAAGAAAAGAAACAATATACAGACTCTCCCCATATATCCTGGGTTACTATTATCTAAACATTTTAAACAAATGAAGGCTGGGAAAGTGTGTGCTGAGACAAGGAAATGAGAATGCAATTATTTGCATGATAAACTATTTTATTTGCTTTAAATATTATTCAATACAGAGTTCCTTAAAATAGCTAAGTTCTCCTACTATAATTAAATTAAAATTTGTGTTATACAAAGAAGTTTTATTCCTAAACATAATGTTCATTAAAAAAAAAAATGTAAGCAAGTCAGGCAAGCTGATAATAGGACACAGCCCCAAAATGATGTAATTAATGTGTGATTGTTTTTCATCCAATCTCTCAAGCTGAGGATAATTACTTTTAGTTAAAATGTGAGGGCCCTTGCCCTGGCCAAGTGGTTCAGTTAGTTGGAGCTTCATCCCATACACCAGAAGGTGGCGGGTTCAATTCCTAGTTGGGATGCTTATGGGAGGGAGGCAATGGTTGATGTTTCTTTCTCTCTCTCTCTCTTCCTCTGTCCCTCCGCCCCTCCCCCCACCTCCCTTTTTTCTCTCAAATCAGTAAAAACGTATCCTCAGGTAAGGATTAAAAAAAAAAAGAGTGCCCTCACTGGATTAGGTAATAGATTTTATAAAACACCGTATGTGAAATTGCTTCATTGATTTTTTTTTTAACTATACAAATGGAAGAACACGGGCTCTGAAATAAAAGAGACCTGGCTTCAGATTCTGGCTCCTTACATACCAATTGGATGGCCTTGAGCAAACCACGAAGCCTCCACTTCCTGCATGTAAAATGAGAATGCTAGAATTGCCTTGCAGTGTTGTGCTACGGATTCAGGCAGGTCAGGTGCTGTCTCGCGGTGAGCACTACCTAAAGATAACCATTATTAACCAGATCACAGTATCTGTTAGAATATAAACTCCATGAGGACAAGAGGTATCATATAATGCTTTAAATGCTTAACTCACTGCCTGACATAGGGCGCACACCCAATGCACATTTCCTGAATAGATGAAACTAGGCTTGGAGGTGGTGAAGAAACTCTGTATCTCCACCTAAGATGATCAGCGTCATTCTCACTGAAGCACAAGGGAAATCCCGGTCCAGTGCAAACATAGCTGGTATTTTTCAAAACATCTTTATTGGGAAACTAAAGCAGGAAGGGTGTGGAGGGTGTGGAATCCAACTTCTTTTATTAAAATACTGAAATCAACTTGTCTGTTATTTTAAACTAAAGTTGACCAAAGAATGGCAAGAATGGCAAAGGCTACCAGTGTCTTTGTCCCCTGCAAGTATTTGAGGAGAAAGGGAGGGGCATAAAAATCTCACTTTTCCATTTAAGCCCCTCGTGACTTGTAGGTAAATTCATCCCCCAATAGAAATAAAAGAAATTCATCCCCCCCCCCTTTGAATGTTTCATCTCATTATATGTGTACAGACAAAATAGTAAAATCTCAAGGAAGTCCTTTCTTAAAGAAAAGTTTATTTATCAAAATGATTGGGTTCCCTGTCACTCCCACTCCCCAGGATTTTCTAACAGAGAAAGCAGATTAAACATCTGCACTTATCCCTTCTCCCTCTTGAAATTTCACTGGAAAAACAATAAAGTGATATTTTAAAAGGTATAAACCTGCCAGGCACCGGTGTGTCTCAGTGGTTGGGCATCAACCCATAAACCAGGAGGTCATAGTTTGATTCCCAGTAGGGGTACATGCCTGGGTTGCAGGATCGATCCCCAGTAGGGGGTGTGCACGAGGCAGCTGATCCATGATTCTCTCTCATCATTGATGTTTCTCTCTCACTCTCCATTTCCCTTCCTCTCTCTGAAATCAATAAAAACATATTTAAAATGTATAACCCAGAGATAAAGGAAAAGAACAACAGCAAGTATATTTTGGAAGGTACAAAGAAGATGGAAAACTAGCAAATTGTCCTTCAAAAAGCTGAATGC